AGCAAAACTCATCCATGGAGAGAGAGACAAAATTAGCTTCTTCGGTATCTCCACTTACCGACTTGGAGCCTTTTGCCGAACCTGCTCCTCCTTTCGGACAATTTCTTTTCAGGTGCCAGATTGTCCACACGTCCAGCAAATCACAACTTGCTTCTTCCTGGAGTTCCTCTTCTTTCCGTCACCGACGAGCATGACTTGACCTTCCGGTGAATTGTTTCGTCCACCGTCTAGCCTTCTCTCTTCCGCAAGAAGTTTACCAGTGACTTCAGAAAATATAATTTTCTCCTTCCCATGAATCAAGATCGGCTTCATGTGTTCATAAGAAGTTGGAAGAGACCAAATGAGTCTCAACGCCTGATCCTCATCATCAATCTTCACTCTAATGGATTTCAGCTCCGAGACGATTCCATTGAGAACGCTTAAGTGGTCTGAGATGCTTTGACCTTCAGTCATTCGCAGTGTGTGAAACTGCTCCTTCAGATACACCCGATTTGAAACGCATTTAGCCTGATACAACTCCTCAAGCTTGTCCCATAATGCTTTTACAGTCGAAATTCCATGCACATTAGCAAGAACATTCTTGGCCAGACACAGTCGTATCGCGCTTGCCGCTCTCAAATCCAGTTCCTCCCAATCTTCATCGCTCATTCCAGATTTGCTCGCACCAGCTTTTTCTTCAGTGCTGCTGGTAGCACTGCCTTTGGGAATTTCCGAGCCCTTCAAAGCTTTGTGTAACCCCGACTGAATCAACACGTCCTTCACTTGCACTTGCCACAAGCCAAAGTTGATTTTTCTGTCGAATTTCTCCACATCAAATCTCGCCAGATTCGATATCTTATTTCCAGACATCTTCGTGATCAGTGAACACTAACTTCGCAGAAAACCGAGCAGCAACCTTTAATAGTACTGATCAGATAAATTCTCAGGGAGGGTAGCGACCTGCCCCCTAAAGAATTACCCTTCTAAGTAAGCTCCCAGGAAAGGCTGGTGGGGTCACAACGGTCCCACTTAAAAAACCAGTCTCCTAGACAAAACCTACTTACACAGTAATTATTCCCCACTGCCCAAAAAACTCCTCTGCACACAAGCTCCACCCGTCACTGGCTCCACCGCACGAAGAGACCTCTTTGGTATCTTTTCTGATGTGGAAGATCAGACAAAACTGCAACCACAGAGCATACTCAGAATACCAACTAGGCTAACCTCGCTCTGATACCACTTGTTGGGAATTCCGACCACACCGAAACTCCGCCCAAGATCCGCTGGAAATAATAAAACTGGAGAACACAAAATTTAACGTGGAAAACCCTCTGTTAACGAAGAGGGAAAAACCACCAGGGCAACAAGGCCGTAGAAAATCCACTATGTAAAAATTACACAATTTTTCTACACTCTCTTATACCCAAAATTACCCCACAGAATTTTCTACTCGTTAACCCTAACTCTCACCCTAAGGAATTTTTACCCTAAGGAATTTTTTACCAGATATTAATTGTTAACACAATAACTCTGTGGGATGATTTTACATAAGAAGTAGCACTTTCTTATATAGGAGAAAACTCTCCCTCTCTTTCATTCCACAATCGATGTGGGACAAAGAGCAAAACCCAACACGACTCAAGAGATGTTTTTCAGTTGTCCGACAGAGTTCTCGACACAAATATCCAAGCAAATTTTTCTACATAAACAAAATATGAAAGTAGACGAAAAATTCACAAAGCACACGAATATCACGAAAGCACATAAATGAGTAAAAACAACTTAATGGATCGGAAAAACTATAAGATGAGCTCAAATAAACTATCTCAAAAAAACTATAAAAAACACCCAGAAATACTAAGAAAAATATATACAATAAGCTTGATATTTTGTTTGTCTTCAAGCAAACAATGTTGCACACTGTTCGAAAAGAAGAATAAACTCATTTCTTAAAGTCATA